TGAAATATCGCGATATTTCAGTGTATCGATATTTTCTTACACCCCTAGTTCACAGTAAAATAAAAACAGTGATTTACATAAAAACACAATGAAAACATTGTGATCAGATTCTCTGTGATTTTTTTATACCATTATAAATATTTAAGGCACGATAAAAGAAAAGAAGTGGTTCCAATTTTCCTGTGACAGTCATTATCATGATTTAACAAATGCATAAGCATTCTTAGTTAAACAACAAATGAATCACGAACAGAAGAGATTGTTCTGTCCATTATCTGGTTAAGAGAACTGAGGGGTTCTCTTCCACGGTTGGAATGACCTGTCATGGCCTAAATAGAGTTCATTTTGTGACAGAGTTCCTGTCCTCTCGTCAGGCCTGTCCGAGACCTGCTTCGAGGAAGAAAATCTTGTTTCTTCACTCGAGGTGACCCCTACAACACCTAAGAACTGGAAAGGTAAAGGGAAGAAAAAGCTGTAGAAGAAGTTGACAGCTTGAACCCACCGGATTAAAGACCACACAGAATACAGATCTGTGGAAGCCAACACCTTATGATATGGCACTTAAAGAGATATTTTTAATTGGTATTTCTCTGTAGAAGTTTGATTTCATTTTGATAGTGAAGATTTTTTTAATGTAGAGAAGAGGAATCTATTTTGAACATAATTTATGACAGAAATAAAAAGCGTTCAAAGGGTTGAAGTACTGTAGATCCTTTTTGTTTTCTGAAAACTTTATTAAAATTATTAAAAATCCTTCTACTGGTTTATGACAACTTGTGAACATGTGAACTTTAAAATATTTCATACTTTTAAAGTCCTGCTGAGATTTAAATTGTTTTCTTTGCAGGTGAATCGAGGAATCAAAGGTGTAGTGAGAGACGTGGCAGGAAATCCACTGCCTAATGCCACCATTTCTGTGGAGGGAGTAAGGCATGATGTCAAAACCGGTATGATGTCGACCAAAATTACATAACCCCAACTTCGAAAGTTGTGACTTTGTGTACAAAAAAAATTAAATTAAATAAAAGCACAACCCAATTCCAATGAAGTTGGGACGTCATGTACAACATAAATAAAAACAATTTGCAAATCCTTTTCAACCTTTATGCAGTTGAATACACTACAAGAAAATGTTTAACATTAAAACTTGTTTTATTGCAAATATTCACTTATTTTGATTTTGACACCTGCAATACGTTCTAAAAAAGCTGGGACAGGGGCAACAAAAGACTGAGAAAGTTTAAAAAATCTCAAAAACACCTGTTTGGAGCGTTCCACAGGTGAACAGAAAACAGGTGTATGTCGTGATCGGGTATAAAGAAAGCATCACCGAAAGGCTCAGTCATTCATAATCAAGGATGGGGTGAGGTTTATCACTTTGTGAACAACAGTGTGAGCAAATATTCCAACAGTTTAAGGACTTTTCTCAACGTGGAATTGCAAACAATTTAGTGATTTTATCATTAACAGTCCATAATATCATCAAACGATTCAGAGAATCTCTGCAGGCCAAAAACCAACAATGAATGCCTGTGACCTTTGATCCCTCAGGTGGTACTGCATTAAAAACCAACATCATTCTGTAACAGATATTACCACATGGGCTCAGGAACACTTTAAAAAACCATAGTTGAAGTTGTACATGAAGCAAGAATGGGAGAGAATTCCACCTACAAAATCAGTGTCCTCAGTTCCCAAACAGTGTTGTTAAAAGGAAAGGTGACGTACCACAGTAATAAACATGGCCCTGTCCCAGCTTTTTTGGAGTTAGTTAATATTTGTAAAAAAAAACATTAATTTGTCTGTTTGAACATTAAATATCTTGTTTTTATAATGCTTTCAATTTAATATAGATTAAAAAGGATTTGCAAATCATCATGTTTTAATTTTTTTATACGTAACATCTGCACTTTGAGATTTGTTGCTTTCATCAAATTGGAAGAAACCTTGTCTCCTAAAAGTCAATGCAATTTCTTAGTTTTAAAGGGGCAATATTATGTGTTTCTCAGGCATATATTTAAATACTATACCATAATAAAGTATCTGTGTCACCTTCAGCTGTTATTAAAATGCTGTTTTTATGTTTAAATAGAAAATAAACTTATCTTCTCATCACTTCCTCTTCTAAACGCCTTGAAATTGTCCTCTGTCTCTTTAAGAATCAACTTCACTTCTGTCCCGTCCATTTCAGTGCCGGGG